AGGCCCTGTCCAGGATTAATCTTCCTGGTACCTGGCTTCAAACCGGTCCTGTGCGGACGTACCCGGCCTCAACGTCGGCCTGGGTTCGAATAGGTCAAAATCTGTTCGAAAACAAAAGAAAAGGTCTAAACGTACTTAGAAGCTCAGCCTTTGGGCCTGAATCTGGCCCTGGCCCTAGAAGCGTGTACCTGGCCACAAAACGGACAACAGTACACCCGTTAGAAAAACAGCAACAAATAAATAAAATAAAGAGTATAAAAATAATCTAAAGCTGGCGTTTTTCTGATGCAGGCCCAAGTAAAAATGCTATAGGGCCTTCAGGTTGCGGTGACGCGACCTGGGGGCCCTATTCCAACCTCGGGTCTCGTGAGGGGCCCGTGTGTAGGCTTTCAGCATGTAACACGCCCCCCTCCTTATGAAGACGAGCCGGGGCGCGGGCGAAGCTGCCGATCCGATGGCGAAATGTAGCGAGGATGGCGAGGAGCTGGAGTGCTCTGCGTAGTCTTCCCTTTGCTAAGATAGCGTGAGAGAACGGAGGGGGCTGTGGCCTGCAGTTCCGAACACGTCAGCCAACGGTCAGCCTTGTGGCTGCAGTAGGAAAAGTGAAGTAGAAACTCTGTTTCTTTGTTGCCATGGYGCCGGTMGGTGATGATGTAGCCGGCCTCCTGAAATCCGTCCATGGAAGGAGGGTYTTGCGTACGTCGACCGGGAAACTYGTCRGAYTCCGCTGAAACAAAAGGAGCGAGTTTGGAACAGTGGAACACCGTGTGGACGGGCAAGTGAGGTGGCACCGCGATGCGGAATGAGGGCCCATCGGGATCATCACCAGCTGCAGAGAGAATGCGCCAAGGCCCCATCCACTTGGGAAGGAGTTTGCGAGAGATATCTTGCTCAAGGCTGAACTCCGTTGCGGAGACCCAAACCAGATCGTCGGCGCGGAACGAGCAAGGAAGGCGATTGCGGTTGGCTTGACGGCTCATCTGTATTTGCGTCTTCGGCATCTGATCCCGTGCCTTGACAGAAGCTCTTGCATGCGACGAAGGAACGCAAGATGGTCGTCGCTCTCTGCTGTGCGCGGCAAAGTAGCGTCCAGCGGCGATGAGATGGGTGAACCATGCTCAAACTCGAACGACGACATCCCGATAGCCGGGTGGATTGATGAGTTGTAAGCCAACTCAACGTCTGGCAAGCGCTCAGCCCAATCAACCTGGTTGGGACGGATGAGAGTGCGGAGAAGGACTTGAGCGGTCTGATGCGCCCTTTCCATTTGACCATCGGTTTGCAGGTGGCGAGCCGAACTCGGCTTCAAAGATGAGCCCCATCGCTTGACGAGGGCGACCCAAAAGTCGGAGAGAAAGCGAGTGTCCCGGTCGCAAACGACCTCCTTGGGGTAGCCCTAGGAGCGAATCCAACCGGTGTATAAGACCTCGGCTAACTCCGGTGCCTTTGCGTGATAGCGGCAAGGCAAAAACATGGCGTACTTGGTGAGGCGGTCGACGACCGTGAGGATCCCATCAACGCCGGTCTTGTGCTTCGGGAAGGGGCCGGTGATATCCACAGCAATTGCTTCCTGTCGCCCAAGGGGCACTGGTAATGGGTGTAGCTCGCCGAACGGACGATGGTTGCGTGCCTTGCAACGCCGACAGACTTCGCACGACTCACAATAGCAGGTGGCGTCCTTCAGAAGGTCGGGCCAATAGAACCGCCGGTGAAGTCAGCCAAGTGTACGGTTGACACCAAAATGTCCGGAGGCGGGCGCATCGTGAACCTCGCCAAGAAGCCGTGTGCGCAAGTGTGAATCATTCGGCACACAAAGAAGATCCTTATCCTGTGAATGCATAAGTAAGTAGCCCTCTTGGATCCGATAATGCGAAGGCACTGGATTCGGAGAGGAGCAATTCGCGTACTTGTCGTGAAAGTTGGGGTCGGCTTGATAGCCGCGGATGAAGCTCTCCCGCAAGTCGTCGTCGATCTCGAAGGTAGAGTAGACTGCGGTGCAAAGATCCGGTCGCCGTGAGAGGCCGTCCGCAAAACGGTTTGACTTCCCGGGAATGTGATCGGGGAAAAAGTCAAACTGGTCGATGAAAGCCATCCATCGGGCAATGGTACTGTTAATCGTGTCTTGCGACTTGTAGAATACCAACGGATTGTTATCCGTTACCCATCGGAATGCTTTCCGACCAAGGAGGAAATGTCGCGAACGCTTGAGGGCGTGAACGAAGGCAAGAAGCTCCTTCTTCCGTGCGTCGTCGATCGAATGCACGGGAGGTACTTTCTTGCTAAAGTACTCGACCGGGTGCCTGTCCGTGCCATCGTGCTGCTCAAGGACAGCCCCAATGTCATAGCCCGACGCATCGTTAGTGACGCGCGTAGCTAGAAGCGGGTCGTAAATATGTAACACCTCGGCGGACAAGAGTGCCGCTTTGAGTGTCTCAAAAGAATGGCGCGCGTTGTCGTTGAAGTCAAAAGGMCGCTCCTCRCTTTKTAACTTGCWTAGGTTGGCCGCGATCTTCGAGTAACCCTTGATGAAGCGCTGATAATAACCGGCCAAGCCGAGGAAGGATCGGACGTCCGTCACATTCTTCGGCTCGGGCCACTCCAGGATGGCTTGAATCTTGTCCGCCAATGGACGAATGCCTTCTGGAGAGACAAAATGACCCAAGTATTCAAGCTCTTGCCGGAMAAAATCGCATTTGTCGCGGTTAGCTTTGTACCGGGCTGACCGAAGAGTTTCTAGAACACGGCGAAGGTGCTCGAGATGCTCCTCTAGAGTTCGTCTATAGACGAGGATGTCGTCTAAGTAGACCAAAACGAAGCGGTCCAACATAGCGCGAAACTCGGTGGTCATGGCCGCCTGAAAGGTGGCCGGGGCATTGGTGAGGCCAAAAGGCATAACTACCCACTCAAAATGCYCATATCGCGTCTTAAACGCGGTTTTGTACCGATCTTGCGGGCGGATGGAAATCTGATRRTAGCCCGAYTTGAGGTCCAACTTCGAAAAGTACTTGGCGCCGCCCAACCGCTCAAGCAAATCGTCAATGCGAGGTAGAGGCCCCGCGTTCTTGATGGTTTGC